AAAAAAAGTTAACCATTGAACAGTCAGAAGTGAGATGCGATACTAAATTCTCATAATTAGCTTTATCTCAAACAGGCTGATAGATTCAGCGTTTTCGGGAAGATTATTACTTGACTTTTAATCACCTAAATCAAATCAAGTCTAAATTGATATCTCCCAAAAAAATACGGAAAAAATAGTCTCATACTGCAGATTGATGGAGTTGGCATGGGAGATTATGAGAGTAGACGCGGCTTCGAAGTAATCCAAGATCTAAGAATGTGGATACGAGGGCCTTCAATAGAAGTCAAAAGGATGGCAGAAAATATTGGAGCAGAGGTGAGATTCTGAACGTTTGGCATTTCCAAGATATAAGATTCAACTCCTAGTGATATGGTTAAGTCTGCTTTTACAGTATAATTATGACTCAGACGTTTATGAAATCTCATGCGACGCCAAATTTCCCGACTTCAACATTTTCGTTGACAATAAAATCTTAGCAATCACATACGACAAGCTGATTATTGAGGTAAGATTACCAAGCAGCTCCAATCAAAGACATAAACCTGGAAATTTTCAGTTAGACGGTGACCCTTGCGTACTCGCTCTTGTACCAATAAATGATGACGTGAACGCTACGCAATGGTATATTGGTGCACCGTTTTTACGTCAATACTGTACCGTCTTTGATGTACGCAGGAAGCGCCTTAGTTTCGCTAAAGTGAAACCCATAGAGTCGAATACTACTACAACACCATGGACACGACGTACTCGTACTAGAAAAACGTCGACAACCAGTCTCTCTACCAGAACAACGTAAGGACAACTCCAAAATACTTTAAACAGATTAGATCAGAGAGCAGCTGCTTTAAATATCTGCGATTTTACAGAACACCAAAACCCAAGTCATCAAGGCCACGATTCACGACAACTGCCACCAAAAATGCTAATTCAGCACATTTTTACAAGAGTATAGTTCTTTTTATGAGTTTCTTGCTGTTTCAACGATGTCATGATTCCCTGTCATATCGCTGACAAAGAAATCTTTTT